AAATTTAAGGATATTTAATAGATCTCTAGGCTTTTATAGCTAATTAGAGTACTATATTCTAGTATTTAATTAATTATATTTAAAAAACCGAGTTAGGATATTAGTATAAAAGCTCGTTCTATACTAAGCGATTTAGAGGGGATAGCGAGTTATATAAAGGAAGCTTTAATATATTAACGATTGAAAAAGGTATTAGCGTATTTATAAATAAAGACATAGGAGAATAAGTATAAGATAGTAAAAATTAGATTCAGAATATAGAATTATTTATAATAGGCTATACTATTAACTAAACTTATACTCCTATACTAATACTTTAATGTAACGAATACTCAAACTGGCTAACTAAACTTGGCTGGGTGTTCGCTGGTTGGTATGCTATGATAAGAAGAAGACTATCGGGTTGTTCACTTGGAAGTGAACTCGTTACTTGTATCAAAGATGTCAAACTAATATGATAAGATTGATAACTAAGTTGATAACTAAGTTGAGCACGAAGCTCCTATCTAATGGCAGACGTGCCAGTCTTATATAGATCCTTCGTTCTCCTTAAGTCACAAAGTCGACAACGACCATGTCGCCCTGCATATATCACGTGACCCTCCACATGTGAAATCCTTGGATCGCTTAGCTACTCTAAGCATCCCTATTTGCTATAACTATCCTGATGTGCCTGTCCTGTCGGAACGCCGTCTGGACTAACTCATCACATGACGCGGGGCATGCCCTTTAGCACGTGATTCGTGACATTTAACCCTTTTTCTTTTCCTTATTCTTCTTTATATTCTTACTACTACTACTACTACTACTTTTATTTATAGTACTATTATAACTTAGAGATAGATATAAGAATATAATAGGTTGTTATAACTATTACTATAAGTTTTCTTAAAATACTCTTATATTAATATATTCTTATCTTTAGAGGCGTTACCCTTAGCTAGACTAGAACCTTTACTACTACTAGAGTTACGTCTAGTATAATAGTACTAGTTAATCTATATCTTAGGAATCTTCTATAAAATAAAACCTTATAATCCGCCGTAGGTAATAACTTGTTTATACTAAAACAAAGCTAGGTATATAACTTCTATCTAAATCTAAACCTCTACTAATCGCATAATAGTATTAAAGTAATTACTTAATTATAGTAGAAGGCTAGCTTATAAAAATAAGAGCGAGAATAACTAGATTATATATACTATATAAATATTAAAACAAGGGGCCTATTTTTAAGGATTATTACTATATAGCTTAATAGACTTTCTCTCTTTTATCTCCTAGGTCTTAGACTCTCTATTAAATAAGATATTACTTTTATTATCCTAGAATAAAAAAGCGCTAGAATCTAATAAGTAGAAGTTAGTAACTTTAAAAGTACCTTTTATAATCTAAAAGATATATTTATAATACTTTAGAGGTAAATAGTCTATAACTTATATAATAGAAGGAGGGAATATATTATAATTAACTATTATTTATCCTAAGTCCGATATTTAATTTAGGAGGGCGGGTAGGCCTAATAAATTACTTTAAACAAGGCTACTTAATTAGCTCTATTAGTATAAATTTTAGTAGAAGGGACCTATATTTTAGGGTTAACTTTACTATATACCCGGGCTAGCTATATATAAATTACCCTATTAAGGTAATAGAGTAGGGGCTAGGGCTACCTAATTTTAGTATATAATAGCCGGTTATCTTTATATACTAAGAGCTCTACTTATTATAGGTCTACTATATATAATCGGATTACTATAAACGTTTATACCCTAGCGTTTATATAGATTATTACGTATATACTCGTATATCTATATCCTTGTTATTATTAAACTATATTATCTTAATAAACTATATCCGGACAAGGTTAATCTAATCTATATATACTAGAAATAGGGGTATATTCTCCTATATAGAACGTAGTATTTTAAACTTAAGTAATACTAGAACCTAGAAGATTATTCTTAGAGTAAAAACCCTAGCGAGTCTCTAGTTGTTTAATAGTGTCACGGATGCCAACAAAGGATAAAGTGTATACAGCTTTTGAATCAATTGCTAGAACTAAAACCGTAGGTACGAAGAAATCAAACTAAAGAGAGAAGAGAATCTGAAAGGAGCGAAGTTATTTAAGTTGTTCCAATGCCAAGTCTCGTCACGTGCTTGGCCAAGCGAATGAAATCCTGTCAAATGAAATCCAGCTCCGTCACAAATAGTAGGGGAGGTAGATCTCCTTTAAGGAGTTAATAACTAGTAACCTTAGTAATAAGCTCTTACTACTCTTACTATAGTATTAATTACTTCTCTTATAGTATCTTCTTTATTATATTAGGCTTATAATTCTACTTTTACTATTTCATAAGCTTTTTTAGCTAAACGGTTCCTTACTTCTATTAGAGTTTACTAGTTATAAAGGTTTTATTCTATACGTATAAACGTACGATTACTTACTCTAGTAAGATTTATAGTATAAGCCCTTTATAATATCCGTTTTAGAGGTTTCGGAGGTATGATTAAGGCTTATTATTTTTAGATTAACTAGATTTAAAAGAGCTAATAATCGTACTATATAGAACGATAAATATAGTATTATTAATAGAGGAGTATACTCGTATGTAGGATATTTATCCCACCGAGTTGCTTAGTAAGCACTCCCTCATTCACAATAAACCACTGCTAGAATACTTATAATATAAAGTCAAGTTTACAAGTATTAATACGCGAGTGGTTATATTGCCCTAGTAGCTCAAAAAAGAGCCTACTACCTAAGTAGGAAATATTTTTAATACTAAATTTGTAGAGCAGTGGACATTAAGTATTAGGTGAGGGGGGAGGGGGTCGATTTACTGGCTCCCTAACCGCAACCCTTTCACTATATCCAGAGTGTCAATAGATCCTGGTTCGTCACAAAGGTGCTCTAGGCTCAGGCGGTAAGCGATGTAGTTCCTGGTCACCAACCAAGATAGGGGGTTTTCCTGTCCCGTGGGTAATTAAGAAGAGCCACTAACACTTCTATGATATCGTAGAATACAATTTACAAACAATAACTGAAAGAGGGTATAACCAACCCAACTCGAAGTTAGCGAGTCTTTTTAGCTTTCCCAAGTCCTCCTATTGATATAAGATGGTTGTTATGATAAAGAGAATTACGAGAAATAGAAGAATGCCTCGCCTTTGAGGGGAATACAAATCAAAACAGTTGAATAGAGCTTGAAAGAAGCACCAACCAAATGAACCAAGTATTCAAAAAGCATTGGTCTATTCGATTTAGTGATTCCTGGTGATGCTATCTTATGATCTGTACGGATGTTGGTATAAAGAAATGCATATTATATATTTGGAGCAAATTTCTTCTTTGTAGCAGAGAGCATATAAGGTCCAGAGATTACCATCATTTTGAAATCCTCACTTCACCCACTATCTCATCAAAAGCCAAATATTCACAACCTCAAGTAAAAGGAAAAAATGTCAGCACCACCAATCAAGCAACCAGATCTAAGGAACCCTGATTGGCATCTACCCGAGACTAAACTAGAGCAAATCGTACCAAAGCCGTACGCCTGCAACGCTCTTCGAATTACCAGGGGACTGTGGATGAAGTGTTGTAAATGCCATCAGGCGACCTTGTCTGGAAAATGCTCTGCGGAACTCCATCAAATAAAATTCAGTTATTGCCAGTAATGTATTGAATTGGAAGCAAAAAACCTGCTGCCGAAAGACGCGACAAGGAAATATTCAAGAACCCTCCCTTGAAATGCGGATTCTGTTTTCACGACTTTTGTACTCAACCTGATAGGGATCAACCTCGTGGGGATCAACCTGGTGGGATTCAACCTGATAGGGATGGGTGCGAGACAAATCATTCTTACCTGGAGTGCAAGGTTCCAGGTTGCAACGCGACACCAGAGATTGGCCCAATGACAGGAAATTATAAATGTCCTGCATGCAACAACAAGTACGCATTTAACTCTTTTATAATCTCAAATTATGAGAGACGAGGTCCACTTTAACTACATGAGACTGAAGGAGCATCCTATACTTCGCAATCCGAATTCTTCTAGGAGTATCAAGGCGTTTTTGGTCGAATTTACTTTGGAGAACATGTTGGAAAGTAGCTAACGAAAAGCATAAAAAAAGGAAGAAGCAAGGAACAGAAAAGGACCTTACTACATACTCATTGCTTTCAGGGAATTGGATAGTAAAAATGGGATAGTATTTCTGAGTAAAAGGGGATAATAAGATAATAAAACAACCAAAAAAAGCTTTAAAATAGATAATATCAAAAAAGAATGGAAATAGGTTTTCCAGAACCATTAAGTTTATCTTCTAATAAGACTAGTGATATGAAAATAAAGTAATATGGGTATGGGCTTTTAGATAGAAACCGAACTCAACTTCACTCGTATCAAGAGTTAGTAGAATCTGTCGAAACCCATGTCATTCTTGGTACGAGTGAGCAAGGAAGATATTTAATAAATGAACAAAGCCTTTACTATAAAAACAAACACAGATCTATCATAAGCGAATTTCCCAAGTTGTGCAAACGGGGGTTTCAGGTATCTCAATAAATGACTGTGGGAGAAAGACGATAAGTATAGCGTGAAATAAATGATGTGGTATCTACAGGTGAGTTTTCTATTCGCGTAGCGTAGCAATTAAACAAACATCAATGTCACTAATCATCCTTTGCTTAACGATGAGGAGTAGAAATGCAACCAACAACGGCAACCTATTGTGGCCAGTATCAAGAACGAGAACTTGATTTACTTTAAATCAGAAGATATAAAGCCGGCATTGACTACCTGGGGTTAGTTGGCAGAGAGTTCAGCTACGTACTTAGGCCTCCAGCTGGTAGTCAAATCCGACGTGTCACGTGAGCTGACCTCGCCTGGCAGATTTTACCTGCAGCTGATAGATCCTTGCGGAATGATATCTTTAATAATATACTATTACCATATTATAGTAAACACGAGTATTGATGCGCTCTTTTTGCTGAGGATGGAGTCGTTTATTTGTTAGTGGTCCCTTGTCGAAGAGTGAGCCCAGCTCTTGCATGTGGCTGGGGTTGGGAAGCGCATGTGAAGACGCCGAGATCCTTGCTTCATGGCTTCATGCCGAGGAGTCTACAGGAGTCCGGGGAAAACAATCGTCGTAAAGTAGCAGTACAACCACCCAACACAACCACAACTCTCTCACTACGAGTCGGATACTCAACATCACTGTCGCCCAGGAATTCGCATCATGAAAACTCGGGTGAATTAAGATCAACTCAACGCCCATGAAGTCCCCAAGCTGTGTTCGGTCTGCATCCGCCACCTAAAGCTTCCCCCCCACACTCCGCATTCCCCAGAACTCCCCTCTCAACCTCCGAATATCTTCAATTCATACGGCTGCCACGATGGCTGCCCAATCGAAACTGAATATTCTCCCTCCCGACCGAACCCTTACGAGCATAATCTCCCAGCTCACAACCCTGTATCTCAAGCATCGTACGAACATCTCTCGAACTGTCTACTTGACCCTCTTTTTCGCCCTCATCAATCGCATACGGTCTGCAATATCAGAACAAAAGGCGGCAGCAGAGCAGCAGAAGTCGTTGCGCAAGCGGGCATCGACTACACTTGGCAATGGGGAGGCACCGAAGAGGCAGAAGGTTGAGCTGAACCGGGAATTCTTCAAGAACCTCTTCCGGCTACTGAAAATATGTATTCCGGGATGGAGGAGCAAGGAGATGAGGCTGCTCATAACGCATAGCATATTTCTCGTGATCAGGACTCTGATTAGTTTGAAGGTAGCTGCTATGGATGGAGCGCTGGTTTCGAGTCTGGTTCGAGGCAAAGGGCGCGATTTTCTGATTGGGATTGTATGGTGGATGTTAATCGCAATACCGGCAACTTTTACAAACTCCATGGTACGCCACATGTCTTTATACAACTTTTATCCGTAATCCGGAAATACTAAAAATATCTAGCTCTCCTATCATCAGTGCAAACTATCTCTGCAATACCGCACGAAACTCACCAATTACATACACGATAAATACCTTTCAACCATGACCTTCTACTCTCTCTCAGCCTTGGATGATCGAATAAAAAATGCGGATCAACTGATTACTGTTGATGTTTCTAAATTTGCGAATAGTCTGGCTGAATTATATGGAAACCTGGCTAAACCTACACTGGATATGCTGATTTACAACTATTCGCTATCAAAAAGTGTAGGCGGGGAAGGTAAATTTTGATGTCACTTTGTACTCGCGACTTGCAACTGACAACTCTTTGCAGGACTTTTTTTCATGTCATTGCTCGTGCAAATCTCTGCCAATGTTATGCGTGCTTTGACGCCTCCTTTTGGAAAGTATGTGGCAGATGAAGCACGACTAGAGGGCGAGTTTCGTTTCGAGCATTCTAGAGTAATAGACTACAGTGAGGAAATTGCACTGTATCAGGGACACGAGGCAGAAAAAGACACATTAGATAAGGGTTATTTCACTCTTATCAAACATGTTAATTGTATATTTACACAAGTTCATCTCTGTGGGCGCCTTGCTGATAGTGTATCTAGATATTCTAAGGAGACGTTTTACTCACGGTATTATGGAGGTATGTTTCCCTCCTCAATTTCTCTGAAATATACTTATCAAAACTAGGATTTCATTATCAAGTATGTCTGGGGCGCACTAGGTCTTATTCTCTGCAGTGTACCAGTCTTCTTCAAAATTCCGGGGGCATCGGTGGCAACGATGGGTGATAGGACCGAAAGCTTCGTCACGAATCGACGAATGTTGCTGTCAAGTTCCGATGCTTTCGGACGAGTCATGTTCTCATATAAGGAGATCACCGAATTAGCAGGTTACACGTCACGAGTAGCGACTCTACTCAATGTGATGGATGACATCAAAGCTGGAAGATTCCAAAAGACTTTGGTTCAAGATGATGAATCAGGCGAGCAGCTGGAACTCATGAAGGGACGCGGTACCGTCATTGAGAGTGAAGATATAGAATTTGTTGATGTGTAAGTGGATTGGTTCAGAGAGGGGATTTGACTAACTTCTGTAGGCCAATTGTCACGCCGGGTGGAAGTATCCTTGTAAAATCTCTTTCTTTCTCTATGAAACGTGGAGACCATGTTTTGGTTGTCGGACCTAATGGTTGCGGGAAATCCTCATTATTCCGAATTTTAGGTGGTCTCTGGCCAGTTTATGGAGGAACGGTGCGGAAGCCATCTCTATCCCAAGTATTCTACGTGCCCCAGCGACCGTATCTCAGTTCGGGCTCTCTTCGTCAGCAGATTATCTACCCAGACTCTCTGAGGACGATGCGAGCCAAGGGAATCACAGACGCGGATCTACTCGAAATACTTCGAATTCTCGACCTCGACCATCTTGTAAATTCGTTTCCTGAAGGCTGGGATGCAGAAGCAGAATGGCGAGATGTTCTTTCAGGCGGTCTGCAACAACGAGTAGCTATGGCTCGGCTCTTTTATAATCGCCCAAAGTATGCGATTCTTGATGAATGCACATCTAGTGTTACGCTTGAGATGGAGAAGGTCATGTATGACCACGCGAAAGCGCTCAATATCACACTCATGACAGTCAGCCATCGACGCAGTTTGTGGAAATATCATAGCATGATATTGCAATTCGATGGGCAAGGAAAATATATCTTTACCAAGTTGGATGCCGATAAAAGGTTGAAGTTGGAGGATGAAAAGGAAGAATTGGAACTTCAACTAAGACAAGTTCCGGAGATTGAGAGAAGAGTTGCGGAACTAACAGCTGCGTGATCCTTTGCAAACTTGCATAGACTAATAAAATACAACTGTTCAAAATTGTGCGTCTGAAAACTGATTCTGTGCCCCCCACTCTCAATCTCCCAATACGAATTCCAACATCCTCAATAACTGCTTGCCGCCTCTGAAGTTTCACAAATTAATGCATTCCCCACAATCCTTCTCCAAGCGCTGCGGCCCCTGTTCGCAACAAATCAGACGCCGTCGTTTAAAAAAGTGGCTCCATGAAAGGGGAGGGGTAGAGTTACAGCGACCACAATATCTGACCTTGCAAGGCGCAGCGATGTTGGTGATCATCTCGGGGAAACCAACATGGAGAAATGCTGGCATCTCTTCTCGGCTCAAAGACTCTGAAGGTCGGGGGTCTTTATAAGGGAAGACTTCTTCTTTGAACAATCATTTACTTTGCGTTTTATTTGTTAAGTCCCTTTCAAAGTTTGTTCATTTCTATTCGTTGATTCTTTTCTTTCAACTGAGATATACTCTTTTCTACTTAGGAAGCAGGAAAATACTTCAATCGTCAAAGCAACAATTCACATTATTTTCACAATCAGACATATCACACCGAAGATCACAAAACTGTACTATTCAACATTACCTCTTCTCCTCACCATCCTCGCCGCAAAGACCCAAGCCTATCCAACAAAAAGCGAAGCCCTAGTCTATATCCCAGACCTCCCATCCATTCAAAGACTCTACCGACCTTCCCATCCCACCCCTCCGGCACAATCCACATGCTCCCAACAACCCCCCAAACACCCAACCCAAAGCCCCTCACCCTCACCTTCACAGCCTCACAAAAACCCTGCCTCCCCCTCGCATCCATATACACCCCCCTCCTCGAAGAACTATCCTCCAACCTCCTCTCCGACTACCCCACCGGCATCCATTCCCGCCCAGGCCTCCCAGTTTCCTCGCCGGGAACGACGTTCACGCTTTCTGAAACCATCGCGTTGGAGGGCGGGTTCTATGCTAGTCTTTACTTGACCGTTTCGGATGGGATTGTGGGGGTGGAGTGGGAGAGGGTTGTGAGGTTGCTGACCAGGATGGCGGAGGGGGTTGAGGGGGAGAGAGGGGGGATTGGGTTGGAGAGGGGGCCGGAGTGATGAGTGTTTTTACGAGGGTTGG